CTTTATACAAAGCCCGATGTCTCAAAGTGACAGATCTGATGATGTTAAACCAAGCGGTGGGACAAGGGAGCAGAGCGAGAGAGGAAAATAAGAAACGCAGACTCAAAATCATTTGAAAAAAGTTAGCTGCACCCAACTCTGTTACCTTTGGCTAAAGCAAATTAACAGAAATGGGGGGAAAAACTGAGATTATTAGTGGGGAATATGTCCAAACCAGTCTTTCAGAAAGTTATGGCTGTCCTTTAGTACACAAATGAATATAAAGGTATTTCTATGGCAGTGGAGGTTTTACCAACCATTAAAACACATATCAAACATTTCTAGGAGCTAGCAGCTCCGCTAAAACATCTTCACCTTATTTCCATCCAGCTGCATGAGCTAAAATGTTGCCTAATTGTTTTTAATGCTAATCTTCTGCTTACAGATTTAATTTCTCCTAAAGCAGGGGTCTTCAACATTTTCCAGGGCAAGGACCCCCAAACTGATGACGAGATGGAGCAGGGACCCCCTAATTATATATATTGTATGAAATTGTGTTATATCAAACAGGTCCTATAGTCACTCTATTACAGATGGAGTAATTTAATGAAAGTAATTCCTCCCTGGGATTATTAAAGTATTTCTGATTCTGATTCCTGGTTGATGGGGCAGGTGTTGTGAATTAAACGGTGCCCAGCTTGAAAGAGCTCCTGTGTGTCGCTGAATGTGTGCATTGATGACTGAAAGACATCTTCTGCCTCCATTTATCTCTTTACTACAGTGAGTTAAATTCATGTTAATGTGGATTTAAAGACATTTTGATTAATGGAAAAAATTGCAGAGGGGAATATAAAAAACAAAGTCTAATAACCAAAACTTTTGCAACCCCCATGCAGTACCTCCATTGAGCCCCTAGGGGTCGCAGACCCCCTGTGGAAGACCTCTGTCCTAAAGGGAAGCATATCTGTGTCATGAGAGTTTTTCAAGAAATGAGACCGAGGTAATAAGAGAAGTTTGATGCTTTTAATGCAACGGATTCAAATTTACCTCGTTCATAACTGAGGTGTAATTTATAGTCCATACGTGATACTTCAGTTGTTTTCCTCTTAGTATCAACATATCATTTTATTTTGTCTACCAGTTTCATTATCTTCACTGTGTCTGGCATGGAGCTGTTTGTTCTTCCTGTTCAACTCTGACTTGGAGTCAAGCCACAAATTGAGCAACTCTTCCAAAATGTCAGCACTTATTTTGTCAAACTGAACATTTCTAAAGACCCACAGAATCCCAGTCATAGGATTTGGATAAGCTAGACGCCATGACTTATGAGTAACTTACACTTAATGTATGTCAGCGATCACATAACTTAACTGTAAATTATGGCCCATGTAGTGGATACGGTGGAAAAGTTTAAGCATGCAGAAAATTTCTCGATATACACTTAAGCTTTTTCAGCAGGGCTACCAACAGTATTCAGCTGTTTCTATACATCTACAGGGCTCGATGTTAACCATTGCCCGATCGCCCGGGGCAAGTACTTTTTATTGTCAGGAGAGTACAAATTTCATTGCATTTGCCCGCCGGGCAAGTGCAGTGATCGCAAAAAATTATATTTATCACTCAAAATTACTTTAAAATCACCGACATTAGCTGAAAACAACCCAGCCGGCGCCATTTTTGTTGTTTTGTACACATTCTCGCGCGATTTGAAAAAGCTGCAAGATTTTCCGCCAGATGGCGTGATTTTTGTCAACCTAGCGGTAATTTTGATGTAGTTACCAAAACAACAAACAAGCTAGAAAGCGCTATCATATGGCAGAGGTGCATTTAAATGTTATATAGCTAAACATGTTAAATTGGTGACCTGTTATGTTATTATTATTGTCTTGTTGCTGCATTTATTTTGTCAGGAAACTAATCCTGAGTCAGTTAAAAGTCAGGGAATTCTGGAATCATGTAAGACTGTGGAAACCCTGTATAAAATAACTGTATAATGATTCTCTAGAAAAGTCACATTATATTAATAGTATTATCTTGTATAAACATACTGTGACTCTAAAATAAGTTATTCATTTGTGACATTGACTTCTATCTTGTGATTTATCTTAAGTTTTTAACCTGTCAAGTTTTTTTTAGATTTTTAACATTACAATTTATATTTTTCCCAAGCACACAACAGTTTAAAGCAAAGTTTAGTTTAAAAAGAATGTGCAGGAAGGATTGAAAAGCATGTTAACACGGTAATGTAGGCTTGAGTTCATTATCTAAAGCATGCATATACACACCAGGAACCTCTAAAATAAAAAAATACTGAATTACAAAAAACATTTAAAAAACAAACATGCTTTATTGATATATATATAAAAAAATGAATATTAGGAACTATATTTATCAAACATTATACTGGGCAAGTAAAAATGGTTTCTGGGCAAATGAAATGTGAAAGTCACTTGCCCGATGAGCAAGTGGTAAAAATCCTAAATGTTAACCCCTGATCTAAATACCAACGTCAGAAAAAAGACATGCTACAGCCGGTAAGGAGAAAAAAAAATAAAAAATATATATATATATATATATATATATATATATATATATATATATATATATAAATATACATATATATATATTTGTAAACCAAAAAAAGTTTCACGTTTAAAAAGAGTTCCTATGTTTTATTCAAAAAAATAGACATGAGGTAAAATAATCATGTTTCATTCCAACTTTCCAAAATGTAATAAAGTTGGGTTACCCATGCAGACGATTACATAGATGTTGCAATACGACATTTCACTTAGTCACTAATTCATCCAACTTCCCTCGAAACCTCAGTTAGATCTAAACATAATCTGCACACAACAGCTTTTACTATCACTAGATCTAATACTCCTCCCAAACGGACCAGTTGGAAGTGACGTCCCACCCCTCCCATGGTGACTTTCAGACCTTTACTCTAAATATTAACAAAGAGGTTCTTTAGATAGTCAGGATACAGGAAAAAATCCACAGATTTGTAGAATGGGTATTTGAGGTCACAATAAGGCTTTAGTTTAAGTTGGTGTAAAGGTTTCAAAGTCAAAACTAGGGCTTAATAATAAAATCTCAGTTTTTGTTTCTACCAAATCCTTTAACTTATTTTTTTTCCTAACCTAAGTTTAATGATAAAAATGCCAAATGACATATTATTACTTTGAAAAAAATATATATTTTTTGTCACTCATCCACTCAACAAATCGACTCATAATCAGGCCCTGTTCAAAACTAAGCAAACCGATGGAGGAGGCCAATAAACGCAATTCTAAAAATAATCTTCCAGAGTGAACAAAAAAGTTCATTTAAATGAAAAAAAAATGTTAAACTTTTAACCTATATATTCTGAAAAAGTATTAAGAAAACAATCCACTGGACTTTGTTTCCAAGTTTGGAGACGTTTCACTTCCCATCCAGGAAGCTTTTTCAATTAAAAATGTCAAAAATAGCGTTGAGTTTGAGGTTTTATAGAGTAGACCAAAAATAAGGCCTTGTTTTTAGTTTGACTTATGTATCATTTATAATTTAGGTAGTTACGTATATTGACAAACATAATATTTGAAAATAACACTTATTTTAACACCTGGGGGGAAATGCTCTGTTAAAATTGAAGGTGTACGATAATGAGTCTATCAAAGCAGCTGCAGAGATGTGGCTTAGGAGCATATATTATTACATTACTATTATAACTGACACTTGCTTTTACAAGGTAATACTATTTACATTATGTTCTGAATAAAAAAGTATTACATTAGAATTCAATTTCCCTACTTAAATATTTCACCAGCTAACAAATCAGCCAAATGCAAAATAAACTAAAAACACAAGCATACAGCAATCAATCGCATGTTATTTTTCCCTATAGAGGCTCTGTCGGCTCTACGGTCCAAACACTGTTGTGGCATTAGCCATCTTTTATGGAGCTGTCTGTTGGAGCAGTGTCTTATCTGTAGCTGAGAGAAAGCAGCTGGATAAGCTGATCAGGAAGGCCATCTCTGTGATTGGATGCCCTCTGGACTCAGTGCAGGAGGTGGGAAACAAAAAGATCCCAACTAAAATAACCTCTCCGTTGGATAATGTCTCCCACCCCATGCATGAAGCTGTTGCAGAACTGCAGAGCTCCTTCACTGACAGACTGCTGCACCCTAAATGCACCAGGGAGCGTTATCACAGATCCTTCCTCCCAGCAGCTGGAAGACTTTATAACCACCACTGTTTCCAACAACCTCAAAAAGTTGCTACATTCATGCTGATTTTTGCAGTTTATACCTTTGTTAGTTAAGCAACATGCTGCTGTCATTTTGCACAACTCTGATGTTGCTGCTATGTTCAAATATTCATTACTGTAAACATATCCATAGCTGTAGAATGGTTATTTATTCTCCAGGTACAGTTTTATATTGTTAAAACACTCTAAACTACATTATTTTTATTGTTTATATTTTAACTATTCACTATTATGTTATTCTTTTACATTTTTGTAAGATCCAGATTTTTTGTTTTGCTGCTGTAAACACCAGAATTTCCCCATTGTGGGGCAATAAAGGGATTTTCTATTCTATTCTATTCTGGCAATAGTTTATATGACCTCAAACGATTTAAAAGATCATAAATTCTACTGGAAAGGTTGAGAGCAACCTACAAAAAAGAAGGCAAGTGTTATTAATGCTGTAATAGACGATATAATGAGAGCACACTGCGGTGTAACCTATAGCACATAAACTAGGCTACTGTCAGTTTAAAATACAGTAAGATACACAGAACAGGGAAGTCCTCGCTAACACACATCCCGCCGGTCAACACACCAACCAAAACAAAACCATGCGGTGATAAAAACTATGATAAACTGAGAAAACCAAGAATGCTCGGAAAACCTCGACACTGCTGGTGCTCAGTTGAGGATTGAGATTAAGCTAACCGCTTCCCATGATGTGTGTAATGTGTTTCCTTAGCTCTGCTTACGTTTCCTGAACTGAGCAACTAAAACTTCTTACCTTTACGAAATATTCGGAAGTTAAAATAAAAGTCTTCGTCTTAAATCCCAAGGTCAAATTAAAAAAGACATCCTTTATATAAACTTAGCTAATCACGTTACCGAGTGAAAGGTTCTCAAAGTCGTGTCAACTACTGTAGGTTTAGAGCAAAGTGCGCATGTGCAACATTTTTGGACTGTTTTGATTGGCTGGTTGACCGGCCACCTTCACTGGGGTTGCGTCACTTTTTAAAAAAACTTTATTGAACAGAGCTTCCCTTGACACCGGCAAATAATGTATAGCATGCCGTTTTGAAATTTATTAGAAGCGCTGTCCTCTCTATTGTTCCATTTGTTGATCAATAAAATAAGATTCTTCCTGGTCAAAACTACATTCCTAATAGCCAGAAATGTACATATAGATATCCTTAATTACATTTTTCCAGCAAAAATTACATTTCAGGCTGCCATTATTGTACTAGTATGAATAAACTTTCAAATACCTAGAAATCTTTAAAAATTTAAAGTGGCCCTTTTGGCATTTATTAGCTTGACTGAATATTTATTTAAGATGTCTCAATGCATTTCTTCCTAGTCAAAATTAACATTTCAGATATCTAAAATAACATTCTTCCTATCTAAAAATGAACTCTGACGAGGATGAAATCTAATTCAGATCTCCGTATTAGAGTTACTGCTAGTCCCTATTAGCAAAATACAGTTTTGCATACTTAAAAACATATTTTGACTAATATTCAAAAAAGAAATGGGGTGCCGTTTTAATATAAAATAGGTAGGCTGAATAGTAATAATAAACTGACTAATTGGATTTGTACCAGTAGAAATTATATTTTAAATACTCCAGAATCAAAATTGTACAAGTAAGAACTACATTTCAGATATCTACAAATCTTTACTTATTTTAGGTGGCAGTTTTAGCAAATATCTGTTTGTATTTCAGATATCTTTAATAGTATTCCTCCTATCTAAAATGAGCATTTAAGATATCTGAAATGTAAATCTTACTGGGACAAATTATCTCACTTTTCCCTATTTGTGTGTATTGGGCTGTTACTTTCAGATATCTGAAATTACATTACTCATATTTACAATAAACATTCTGGATGTCTAAAAATTAATTTCAGATCTCTGTAATCTGATTGTTACTGAAGATGTATGGTCACAGAGATGGATTATTAATAAGATTGAGATTAGATCAGACTGGACTCAATACGAAATGAAAAAGGTAAACATAATACAGAGTAATGTTATTTATATAGAAGGAAGTAAAATATAACATGTAATTTAATAAAGTGAGAAATATGAGAATCAGAGAAGGATGAAAGTTATTTAGACATGTCAAAAATTTTTTATTGTGCTTACAAAATAGAATCAGAAAATGAAATTTTTCAAATTTTAATAACTTTTTTATTAGAAAAATGCAGTTGATGATTAGATATCATTAGGACATATGGAGGACTAACTGCAACATAATAAAAGGGATACATAAATAGGTAAATACTTAATGACTAAATAGGCATTCAATAAAATATACAGAAAATACAGAAAACAGATATTATAGCCAATAATGTAATTATACAATGAGCCATAAACTTTTAAATAACCCTTAAAAAGGTGCCTTTTTCTTTTAACTCTTCATCTTTTTTACTCCTTGTATTTTCTCCACCTTGTTTATTTCTTTTTATTCTTTTACCATTTCAGTATTCGTTACTGTCTGAATCTGCAAATGAGGAGGGGGAGGGGTTGCTTTTAAAGGGGACAACTTCTATTGTGTATCACAATCCTAAACTGATCAAATCTACTAGGTCCAATAAGAGGTTTCATTAAAATGCATCTCCTTCTCACAGTTCTAACACAAAACTAAACTTGTATACAACTGATTTGGTGAAGAGCCAATGATTACAGCACGAGGGTTTGTTTATTTGTTATTATATTTTTTTTTCCTTTGTCCCTTTTCCTCTCCACCAGAATGTGTCCACAAAAATAGAAAAGGTAAAAGTTGATTTGGTTGAGGAAAATTAGTTGAAGTTATTTCAATCTGCAGAGGCTGACTGGGGTTCAAGGAGACAGAAGCAAAGATACAAAAGATAACTGCAAAAGGCGGCCCCGTCCAGGAAACACACAGCCAGGCAGACAAGCTCTGTCCCAGCTCCCATGTCAGAGAATGAAGAGAGCACATCCAGCCATTCACAGTCAGAGAAACAGGACAACACTGGAAAACAGGCAGATCTCCAACATCTATAAACAAAGGTGTTGATGGCAGCAGCACAGCTGATATTTCTTTCCAGGATGGAGTCACAGCCAAACAGGAACAGACCAGATGAAGCTACTATGAGAAAAAGCAGAGAGAGCAGAACGTTAGAGATTGAACTAATAGATTCTGCAGATTGGGAGAATAGAGATAGAATTAAGCAGAATGATGAACTATAAGCTTTATCAAAAAGGAAAGTTTTAAGCCTAGCCTCAAAAGTAGACAGGGTGTCTGCCTCATGGACTAAAACTGGTAGTTGGTTCCACAGGAGAGGAGCCTGATAACTAAAAGATCTGCCTCCCATTCTACTTTTAGAAATTCTAGGAACCACTAGTAAACCTGCAGATTGAGAGCGAAGTGCTCTGTTAGGAACATAAGGAACAATCAGATCTCTGATATCAGATGGAGCTTGGCCATTTAAGGCTTTGTATGTGAGAAGGAGGATTTTAAATTCTATTCTTGATTTAACAGGAAGCCAATGAAGAGAAGCCAGGATAGGAGAGATATGATCTCTCTCTTTAATTTTCATCAGAACTCTGGCTGCAGCATTTTGGATCAGCTGAAGGCTTTTAACTACAGTTTCTTCAATTTTTTTTACATGAGAGCTTGGGTGTCTTGCAGTGTAGTAATATTTCAGGGGGCCCAGGGGGCTGAGCCAGTGCTGACAGTGATGGAAGAGGAGAAACTGCTGTGAATCCTGACAGTCAGACAGTCTGTTGGTCGGAAAGTCCAGTAGCCAGTTCCACAGAGTGGGGTTCAGTCCTATACGGAGCCCCTCTGATGACATGGTCAAAAAAATGTTTAATTGTGGCCACGAAGTAGTATAAGTATAATATGCGCACGAAATACTATTTCGTGGCCACGCAATAAGTTTAACGTGCGCAAGAAATACTTATTAATAATATTAATATCATTCCTGGACAACTGGGTAAGCAAATCGAGCGCGCCTTCTCTTAGGTCTAAGGCGCGCTCGATTTGCTTACCCAGTCGGTCTCCGCCAGTCACGTGACATTTGTTGCTAAGACGCCATTTTAGGTGGAAAAGGCGTAGTTTAAACAACCGCAGCATAGCTAAACGAAGGACTAAAGGCCCGTTTACATAGCAGCCTGTCCAAGATAAGTCATTACAGTTAACATAAGCCTGAAAACAGGGGCAGATTTATTGATATTATTAATAAGTATTTCGTGTGCACGTTAAACTTATTGCGTGGCCACGAAGTAGTATTTCGTGCGCACGTTATACTTATTGCGTACTAGTACTTTGTGCGCATGAAATACTACTTCGTGGCCACAATTAAACATTTTTTTGACCATGTCATCAGAGGGGCTCCGTAGTCCTAGCACTGCAAAAACATTCGGAAATTTCAGGAGTACTGATGTCAGGCTATAGGTGGGTAGTCATTCAGGAACACCTGGGGGAAATAGTGGTGGACTTTAAGCAGGTTGGGACAGATGCCAGTGACAATGAGGCATAAGAGATATCCATTCATCTTTGAGATTTCTACTAATCTCAGCGTTCAGTTAATGGGTTGCAAGAGAAGATGATACCTAACTGTTCTCGCCTGGTATCATATGTGATTGCCAGGGGTATTACACCCTCTAAGTCACAGAGGGTGATGATTGTCACCTCTATTTATGGCCTTACTGCAGTAAGTTATTTGTTTATTCCATGACACATTGTCAAGCTGGATTGTGTGCACATTGCACCACCACAGTATGTCTGATTAACTTTCTCTGAATATTGAATTAATCTGTGCAATAAGAGTTACTGAAAAAAAACAGAACAAAAAAAAAAACATCTGGCTTGGGAAAATAGATCAGTATGTTATATCACCTTTACATACAATATCAAAAAATACATTAGTTTACATTTTGTCCAACGCTCAGTAGGTGGCAGTAACACATACCTAGAGTTTCTGGCAAACTACAGTAGCAACAAAACCAACAAAACTTTATTTAACATTTTTCATTAGAGCATTTCTTTTATGGGACCGATGGTTTCATAGGGAGCTTATTTACATCCATCAGACATAGACAACAAGTTTAAATCCACAAAGTTTATTTTTAATGTTGTCATGATGGGTTAAATAGTTAAGCCCAAGATGCAGAACACACGCAGGGAAACTGGGTAAAAAGTCCAAAAGAGTTTATTGAAACACAAACGTGAATAATGAAATGGGAACTGGTTCAGGCAGGGGACCAGGTTCACAGGAGACTGTACTGAAATGGGAGATGGTTGGTAACAGAGTTCATGAGAGGCTAAGCATCTAGCTTCAGACTTAGCCTGGCAGTCCTGGGTTTGAGCTTCCAGCTCACTGCAGAGAACAACAGGGGAAAACACGAAGGATTTTTCAGGCTGAGCTTCCAGCTCTTAGCAGGGAACAACAGGGGAAAACACAAAGGATTCTACAGGTTGAGCTTCCAGCCCTTAGCAGGGAACAACAGGGGAAAATCCACATGGGAACCTCTAGGGAAACTCCACAAAGAAGTCATCAGGTTTCATCCACGTAGGAATCTTCGGGTTGGCTCACCAGGGCAGGTTAGCAAGTTAGACTTTCCTAGAGCTTCAGGCTTGAGACTGGTTTCATGTGAGGCAGCTCTCCCAGAGCTTCACGAGGAGACAGGGGGTTAAGCTCATCCAGAGCTTCACGAAGAGACAGGATTCCTGTGAGGCACAGATAAGGGAGAGATTAGAATCTGATCTCACACTTGAGACAACCTAGACTCATTCTATAACAGAAGGTTCAGGAAGCTAACCAACTAAGGTCAACACTGCGGCGTGGAAGCAAGGTCTGAAGGCAGCTTAAAGGAATAGTACACCCAAAACATGATTAGCCTTCATTTTCTACTCACCCCCATGCTGAACAACACTCTGGAGTACTTTTTTGATATCTCAA